AGGTGCCTGGGCATTTTAAAGGGAGAATGAGGGAATAGGGAGGGAGGAAACTAGAAGATTCAGGGAAGTGAAAAATTATAAAAAGTGTGAAGAGGGGCATTGGTCCATGTGAAATATATCTGTGTTTGCTAACTGACACTTACCAAAGTTAGGCTCCTACCTTCCTACAGAGGCTAGAAGACAGGGACCCTGTCTTCAGGTATTGACTGGAACAAATGCTAAATTCTTCTGGCAGCCTTGTTTTTTCTCAGGCAGGCGTTTATAGGGCGTTAGGGTAATCTGAGGGATGTGACATTGAATTGCTATAAACTATGTTAAGAGTTTTGTTCAAGTCTTTATAGGCCAAGGTTGAGGCATAGTCAAGAAAAGGCTTAGAGGAACCTGACTAGACTCTGGTCAAGGAGAAAAATCTATGTCAATACCCCAAAGTGACTTCAAATAACAGTAGAATACCCATTAAACCATAATAAATATATCTTGAATTTAGCTTAGTTATATCAAAGTATCCACAGCCACTATGTTGCCTAACACAAGAGGAAGTGTAATGGAGGGGAAATTGGTGTAAAGACAACAGTTTTCACTGATTGTGGTTTAGATATTTTTACTTTTGCAAATTTTACAAAACATGACCATAGATACAGTAAATTTGGAGGTACATTTTTGGAGTAGTAGAATCATAGAGACTTGAGACACAGAATCAGTAGCACAGCAGAGAGCCAGAGTGAGGAAATGTTTATAGTTACAATCCCCAGGCTCATCCATGGTCAATTCTCAGAATGCTGGCAAAGATTAGTTTAGACAGATTAAAGAATTATCCTCTGAAGAGATGGCAATTTCCCAAAAAGAGAAATACCTTACTTATAGGGGTCCTCTAACAAATGACCATGTCCCCAGGTTACCTATAGTGAAGCCCTACCCACATATACAAAACTTCCAATCTGATTTTTAGTGCTATTCTTTTAAATATGCAGTCATCGATCACCAAACCTCTAGGGAAAGCCTCCAGCTAAAAAACACAGAACAGCACCAACTGAATAAAGGACTATCCTCAGAAAAACAATTATGAGAAGATATGATAACTATGAAAAATCAGAAATTTTTAAGATTTACTGGAAATTAAAAATGATGTGGAAATGCTATGAGCTTTATGTGAAAGAGGTGTATGATAAAGCTTAGGAAATCTCTCAGAGAATAGAACCAAAATATAGATGGAAAGTAAGAGGAAAAGGCAAAATTATTAGGAAATTTATACAGGATGTTCAGGACTCTTCTATGAAAGAAAAGAGAAGAGGAAAAACAGTGAGAAAGAAGTTATTACAGACATCAAACAATAACTTTTTCTATAACTGAAGGATTACAAAAAGACCATCAATTAAGTGATACACAATTACATGTATCATTATGAAATTTCAGAACACCAGGGATCCTAAAAGTTTACAGGTAGGTGGAAAATCACGTACAAGTGATCTCAAATCAAGATTGCATCAAATTTCTCAGAAGAAAGACAGTGGAGCCCTTGCCTTACATAACTCTGTAGAAAAATAAATCAATCCTAGAATGTTATGCCTAGACTATCAGTCAAAGGCAGAATAAATATATTAATAGACAGTAATATTAATTATTGTCTATATATATATTGACAATATATTGTTATATATATGTCTATATATATATAGTCAATATATATATATAGTTAATATATATATATTGACATATATATAACAATATATTAATTAACTATCAAAGGCAGAATAAATATATTAATAGACAATAATATTAATTATTGTCAATATATATATAGACAATGTATTGTTATATATATGTCAATATATATATATTGACAATATATTGTTTTATATATGTCTATATATATAGTCAATATATATATAGTCTATATATATATATTGACATATATATAACAATATATTAATAGACAATAATAAATATATTAATAGACAATAGACAATTCTAAAGTAATTTGCCTTCTGTGCATCCTTTCCTAGAAATTGCTAGAAAATGTGTTCCACCAAAATAATGCAGTAAATCTAGAGAGAGAAAATAATATCTTAGCCCCCAAATTAGGGACGAACCAAAGGGAATTAGATGATGGTAAAGAGAAGTGCCATGTCAACAGCTGTTCACTATATCTAGGAAGCATTTCATAGTCATTAAAGCAAGACAATGAAGGGCTTCAGGCGAGCTGTCTTTTCTACCTACCCTTGCCCAAATGAATCATGAGTTGCATTTTATCATTTTGAAAATAGTTCCATATTTATGAGAGAAAACAATAGTAATGGATGAGGATAAAGAAAATGAGATTTAGAGAAATTATTTCTCTGAGTCACAAAGTACCTCATGGAGCTTGGAATCAAACCTGAGAAACCATATCCAGGGTACATACTTTTTCACAAACGCATTGTATCAAAATGAAAATGCAAGATAGAAAGTAGTAGTGCTTTAGGATGAGAGATTATTTTTAAAAGAATAATTACATATTTTAATGTACAGTTTATAAAGTACTTTTCATAATATTTTGGTTATGATAAAGTACTTTGGAAGGATTTTGAGATGGAGAAGGTGACATGGGTCAAGTGAGTGGAGAATGGGATATCTGCCAGTAGTAATCAAGCTCAAATCGGGGTGGATGCCAGTAAATTCTCAAGATTCACTGTAAACCTTTTATGGTATTGGTAGAGTGTTCTGGAACCAGATACAAACGACTTTTCCATTGCCAGTGATTTAAGGACTGAACTACAAGCTCTGATCTGCATCATTAACTTGACTTTCAAGCTTTTAATGGGTGACAGATATGTCAAACTGATTTGAGCACTGCAGATGCAAAATTTATGGTCCAAAATTCTTTTCCTTTGGAGATTAAACAGTGTGAAGTGGATAAACTTTTTTAAGGTGACGAAGTTTTCTCTCTTTAGCTGCAAATTTTTATCTTAACCGTATTAATTGGAAATGTTCTAAAATGAATTGAGCACATCTCTTCCATCTTAAGTGGAGTAGAGGAACGTATCTTGAACTTTTATTTTTCTTCTCATTGGTGTCTGTATTCTTCTCTTTCTGGAATATCAAGTGGATAATGTTACAGAACTTTTTAAAAGAATGCATTTCACTGTATTGACTATTTCTCAAATAAATAGGTCCATTCCTCAAAACATGTTTAACTCTGTTTCATAGATTTTATGTTAGGAATAACATATGGGGGTGATGAAATCTGACCTCTTTGTGCAGCCATGGAAGTAACCAACTGTGAAGTTGGCAAACATCACTAATAGCAGATAAAGGAATGTTTAATTGAGTAACTGGTCTTTCTAGACCTGCTGGCTGTTGTTTCCCAACTCTAAATAAATTGGGAAATGAAAGATGCCTTATAACCCTTTAGTAACTTCAGATATTCTACTCGTAATAAAAACACTTAACACATTCAGTCACTTAGCTTGTTTATGTCTTAGTTTCTTCGTCTTCAGCAGAAATGAGGGGAGTGCAGTACCTGTCTATAATAATCACTGTAAGAATTAAATGGGCTATGTGAAAGTATACGACACCTGTCACACAGTAGATGCTCATTAAGTGTCCATTTCCCTGCCCTTCTCTAAGGGTTTTCCACATTATAAAAGCAGATAAGTGCCTGATTCATGCACCATTCACAGGATCAACTTAAATGTCTATTTCCTTTTCCCCTTGTATATAAGCTCTTCATTTCAAAAAGAGAAATAGGGACCTTACCCCTTTGTAAGGGATGTAATATATTTTTCTTCATTGCTTATCTGAACTGACCCACTTGGACTTTTGCAGAGGAAATGATAATATCTGCCATTTACTAATATTACGAATATAGAAATGGAAAATCTAGTCCATGCTAATAAACTCCTTCATCCTAGTAAACTTGAATTCCTACTGCTTTTCTACGATAGCTCCACTTTCCCTGTAGAGTAACAGCTTACTCTCCATCAGGAATATTAACCTCCTAAAGAGTTACAGTCCTATCAAAACAAACAATAATTTGGCATTGTAATAACTTTCCTGTGTATATTACCTCTGTATCAAAGATGTTTAAATTTCTTCCAAATCTGAGAAAGAAGGGGAAATCTTCTGTGGAAGTATTTTTTATTATTTTAATTGAGTACATTTAATTTCTGTCTATATGAAACCTCACATACTTTTTTTGTGTGTGCTATGCGGGCCTCTCACTGTCGTGGCCTCTCCCGTTGCGGAGCACAGGCTCCAGACGCTCAGGCTCAGCGGCCATGGCTCACGGGCCCAGCCGCTCTGCGGCATGTGGGATCTTCCCGGACTGGGGCACGAACCCGTGTCCCCTGCATCGGCAGGCGGACTCTCAACCACTGCGCCACCAGGGAAGCCCCACTTATACTTTTTTGCAGTTAAATCAAGAAATTCTTTTTTTAAAAGGGGAGAAATGCTGAACTGAGATTTTAATTAATTTTGCCCTGATTATTTTATATCATCTTTAATATATGGAAATGAAACTTTCATTACACTTTACTTAAAGTATGTCTATTAACTTTTGAATCTTTTGTTTGCCCACTCCCAAATTCTAGCCTTCCTTCTACCCAACCTTTAATTTGAGAAAGTGAAAATATTATCAAAGTTAAGATTCTCTAATAAGGAGATGTGTTATATTTAAATGTTTAAATAATGACACACTGAAATATATAAACACATATACTATATGTATGTGTATCTATATATAGATAATAATACCCAGAAATCACACATAAAAATGTATGTATATATTTACAAATGTAAATATATGTGTATATGTATCTACATAGTAATACCAGATACCCTCTACCATTCCAATCATAAATATGCTGATTAGTATCTAGATTACTTTTTTACTGACATCTTTTCTAATTAGTTATCATCTTAGCCATATTTGTGTATATGTATTTAGGAAAAATTGTGGTTTTTACATAAATAGAGCAATCCAAATTCTATGTTTGCTTTTTTTTTTTAATTTTTCTATCTAGAAATTGACATTGAACGTTGTGTGCGAGAATCAATCAACCTGTTTTGTTGGACTCCTAAAAGTGCTACTTACAGACAGCATGCTCAACCTCCAAAGCCAACTTCTGATAGCAGTGGAGTCAGAAGTTCAACACCTTATTTCTCCACTGAGTGTCCAGATCCTCCCAAAACAGATCTGGTACGTAATTGCTGATTTAATTCATAAACTCTAAAAGAAGATGGATGTTATATTAGTATACTTAAGTATCAGTATTGTTCATATACTATTATCACTTATGTCTCTTTTTTTTTTTTTTTTTTTTTTTTTTTTT